CCCCCTGCATTGGGAGTATACTCTTAACTGCTGGACCATCAGGGAAGTCCCTTGGTGAACTTTTTAAAAGGTGCCCCCAACCCTGAATGGAGGGCAGGGTGAGTGTCTTGAGGGGCTCAGTGAGAATCAGGCTGGTTTTCACAGGTGGCCCACAAGCTGGTTTGGCCAGGAAAACTTACAGGGCTGGGGTCGCTGTACTCATTTTCCAGTTTGGGAAACAGAGACCAGAGAGGGGTCCAGGCTAACCTAAATTCACACAGCCAGGTGCAGCCCATACCTGCTGCCTATCCCTGGAGGAACCAGCAAAACTGGGGTCAATTCCCAGCTAGCTCCCTGAGCTAAAAATAGGACCCCCTTCACTAAAGGCAGCTGAGAATCTTGCAGCCCCTCACCCTGCTGGGCCAGGCTCCTCTGGGAAGTTGCCCCCAGCTATTTAGAGACAACTGCTTTCCTCTGGAAAATGCGGGGGGGGGGGGTGGCCTAGGTGGCACCCCTCCTGGCCCCCAGGAGAAGTGCCCCCTTCCCTTTGACCAGAGGGGAATGAGATCCTCAAAACCACTGAAGGAGGAGTGAATGTAAATTGACCCATTTTAGAGAGGGGGAAAGGCACAGTGAGGCTCATCCTCCTCTGCCGGGAAAGGCAGGGCTTGCATCCTGATGTTTGGCTCTTTGGTAGAGGGGGGCCTCTTCTGCACTTTGGAACTGACCTGGGGCCTGGTCCTTAAAGGACAGCTTCCCTCCCCCAGCTCATCTGGGTCTCCAAACTCTCCTCTCTCCTGGGGCAGGGCGGTTATTGCCCCTCTGGTGGCAGGGGCGGTGAGGTGGACAGCTAGGGGGGTGTATGTTTAATAGCTTCAAGGTGGAGGCCTCCCTGTCACCTGCTGTCAGTAGGCTATAATGGCCCAGGGGCTGGAAGCTTGGGTTCCTGAAAGGAGCAGGCAGAACTCTGCCTCTGACCACCCATCATGGATGGGGGTGGCTCCCTTGCACTGTCCCCTGGGTTTGGGAATCCCCCAGAGAGACAGGACCTCAATGGGCCCCCTCAATGGGGGTGGGTGATATTGAGTGCGGGGAGGACCCCCAGAAGATGGCAATGCTGTCTGTTATATTGGAGGGGCTGCACACACACACCCCCAACCACAACTCAGGAGCAGGGACTCCAGTCCCTCCCCATAGGGGCCCTCTGGGTGGCCCCCGCCTGCTCTCCATGCTCTTGCTTTGCTCTTATCTGGGCTGGAGCCTGGGCCCCTGCGATTAGCTCCCAGGGGAGGCCTCAGGGGCTCACACCCCCAAGCCCCACCTTACCCCAACCTACTCTGGCCTCAGTTTCCCCCCTGTCTGAAATGGGGACAGACGTCTGCATTACACAAAAATGTGAACTTCATGCGTTGGGCACATGGCCGCACGACTGAGCGCCGCTTAGAAGATGGAAATTATTGAATTATGATTACCCACAAGATAACCTTGCCTCTCCTTCTGGAAGGTGTGGGCAGTCAGGTTTCCAAGAGGAGTGGGCTATAGGGGAGTGGGGAGGGTAGGGGTCATCATGACTTCGCGATGAGCCCTCCCAGGAATCCTGGACGCCATCCCACGGCTTTGCCAGTGCGGTGCCCACGGCTGGCAGCCTCTCCCTCTCCCAGACCCCCCTGCACCATGCAGCGCCCTCATCGCAGAGCCCTGGCCCCCTCCCAGCGACACAGCACTGCTGTCTTTTCCTGTCACCGCAGATCCTTTGTTTATCAAGTCTCTAATCCCCACTTTACAGACTTGGAAACCGAGGCACCAGTCCTGGGGGTGAAGTCTTCAGCGCGAGTGGCTTAGTCCAAGGGACAGAGGTGAAACTCCGAGCTCGGTAGGTATATCCTCGGCGGTCGTTACAATAGGTAGAGGTCCCGGACCGGGCTCCTGTGCCCTAAGCCCATCCAGGAGGAGCCCCAACTTTCTCCCCTCCCTGTTCCCCTGGGTCGCTTTCAGCCCTGCCGGCCCCCTCGGTGTCCTGTACACTCTGGCCCACGGAGAGCACATTACCGACCGTCCCTAGATAGGGGCGGGGCATACCGCGTCCCTGTTCCCCTTCCCTTTCATTATTTATTATCATTTAAAGGGGCCGCGACTTGAAAATTTCCGTCCACTCTCTCCCCTTCCCTAACACCCCTGGGCTCTTGGAGCGTCTTCGGACCAAGCGCGGGGGGCGAGGGGGTGTCCGGGAAGGGGGAGGGGGCCTTACGAGAGCCCTCCCCACGTCCCGGGCCGCGGCGCTGAATCACCGGCGAGGTATTTGCATCTGAGAGCGATTTGTCACCCGGTGATTTGTCTGCGGGGCGGTGAGCGCGCCGGTGGGGGGGAGGGGAGGGGCGGGGGAGGCCGCGCGCGGGGAGACTTTTACCAATCGGGTCGGTGGGGGGTGTAGACGCGGACTCGGCTGGCGACTCGGTGAGTCGGCGCGCGGCACAAACCCGGCGGTGGCCGGGAGCCAGCAGCGCGCAGCTCGCGGCCCGGGCCGGAGGCCAGGCGCGGCCGGGGCAGGGCCGGACGCCAGGCGTGGGGCATGCGCCCCCCGAGCGGGCCCTGCGCCCCCCGAGCGGGCCCCGCGCGGTGAGGCTGGGGCAGTAGGTGGGCCGGCCTTTTAAAACGTGGGTTCCGTCCCGGGTGGGCGTCGCGCGCCCTGGAAGCTAATGAGGGGGGGTCCCCAAAGTTGGTCAGGAACGTGGGTGCGGAAAGGCTACCCGAGTGGGTTGGAGTTGGAGCGATTTTCTCTTCGACCCCCTCGGAGCCCTCACCCCCTACCATATTGTGCGGGTGCGGGAGTGACCGGGGGTCGTGTGTCCCCCCCCCACCCCCAGCGGAAGGAAATGGTCTTTAGGCGCGCGCGCGCGGGGGGCTATGGTCGGGGTTATTTCATTTATTGTCGCTGGAATCCGTGTTTTATTCTGGAGCTTCGAAGGGAGTGGGAGCGCCGGGTCGGGAGGGCAGTTCTCTGGTGACCCTCCTCAGCCTGGATGGTTTATTTATAAAGTGTCGGCTCTGGGGCAGAAAGGGGCCCCTGGAGGGGACACCATGGGGCCCGCGGCCGGGGAGTGGGGGAGGCTCGGCCCGAGCCCTAACTCTTTGGCGGGGATCCTCTGGAAAAGCCCCCTCCCTCTTTAAGTACCCCCCAGACACAAAAGCGGGCGCAGGAAGCGCGGGGGAGAGCGCGTTGGTCAATTCCAACGTTCCGCGGACCCGGGGTGGCCGGTTTGTCAATAATCTTCCGTTTTCAGTCGCCCAGCCTGGAGGGTTTGCCCCACCACCACCACCATGCAAATCGGTCGCTTTCCAAGAAGCCTTTGAAATCGGACTTGGGTTTCTGTCGTCTAATTTCTTCTCCCTCTTCAGTGTTTCTTTTCTCACTTCCTCCGGGCCACCCTCTCCGGACTCTCCTAGCCCCCTCCCCACCTTTCTGCCCCGCCCTCCCCCTCCTCTTCCCCTAGTGAAGTGAGGGCCCCCTTTCGCCACCCGCGGGGCCCAGCCTTGCACAACTCTTTAAATAACCGTGTTTTGCAAGCCCTGGGCCGAGCTGGTGACCTCTCTCCGGGAGGCCTGGGAGGGGGGGAAGAGGGTGTGGCCTCAGATCCCTCCTTGCCGCCCCCCCCCCAGGCAGGTCCCAGCGACCCCCCAGCAGCCCCCCTCCCATCCCAGCCCGGTCCCTGCCTGGGAATGCCTCTCCCCTGGGGTTGTCATAAAGTGGGGGTAGGGCCAAGGACAAAGGGCTCTTGCGGGGAGGGGTCTGGAGGGGTGGGCGTCCTCAGCCTAGGGTTAATGGCAACCACGGTTGCGGGGGGGGGGGGGGACCCAGGCCCAGGCCTAGAAGGGCTTTGGGGTTCCCACCTGCCCCCTCCACCAGCCCCTACGTGGAGGCCTGCACTGCTCCCCTCCCCCACCCATGGACCCGGAAGGGTCATTAAACCCAGCAGGCCTGGGGGTGGTGGCTTGGGGGGGAGTGGCTTCCTTTGGCCTCTTCCTTCTCCCCCCTCAAAGGGAGGGGGCGATGCCCAGAGCATTTCCGTGGGGAAGGGGGGCTCATCTTGAAGTTGTCAATGGTGGGGGAGGGGCAGCAGACCAGACTAGACACGGGTGAGAAATGTCCCCTCAGCACTTCTTGGGGCTGGTGGGGGGACGGGTGACTGCCCATCCCCAGGGGTGGGGGCTGGGTGCTCTTCTGCTGCCTCTAAGGGTAGGCTGTGCCGGTACTCTCCAGCAGTATGGCCTCTGAGAGGGTCTTTGTGCCCTGGTACCCCTGCCCCTGCCGAGTACTGAGGGCCTTTAGGGATGGGTCCCTCCCCACTTTCCTGCAGGTGCCCCCACTCCCCCCCCACTGCCCTTTCACCCGTCCTTCTGGGAACCCTATCACTGGGGAGGGGTCCCCTCCCGAGACTGGGGAGGCTGGGAGGGTCTCTACTATAAGACTCCCTTGGGGGAGGGGTCAGGCTTCTCTTAGCAGGTCACAGGAGGGGCTGGGAGACCAGCCAGCCTTGTGGCCCATGTCTACTGTCAACCAGGAGCCCCTGCCCACTGGCCCCTTCTGCCTGAGGAGATGCTCAGAAGCCTGTGGGGGTCACTGGCCGGCTGGAGTGGCTCCTGGACCCTCCTGTTCCCCACCCCCCAGCTTCTCAGTGATGTACCATCTGGGGTATCTCTGCCAGGCCTGTTGAATTCTGCCTGGTCTATTTTATTGGCCCCCTGGGCGGGTGGGGGTGTGGCCTGGGCTGGAGTGGGGGCTGGGATGCAGATAGGGGGCTACATCCTCCTATCTTTGGTGGTGGCTCTGGGACATCCATGCCTGGAGCCTGCCCAAGGCCCTGGCAGAGCAGGTTGGCAGTGATCCAAAGGGACCCCAGTCTTGGGGAGGGGACAGGGGGCAGAGTGGGCTGTGTTCTGGGCCCTGGCCCCCACTTGGGGTCCTAAAGGGCAGGGAAGCCGCCAGAGAGCATGGCTGTTGGGAGGTTCCAGCATTCCCCTAGACCTGGGTCTGGATTCGACCCCAGTCTTGCCCAGAACCTGCTGTGTGTCCTCCAGCAGGACAACTCAAGCCTATTTTCTCCATCCGTGAAACATGGCCCGTCCAGCCTCCTTCCATAAGTCTAGCGAGTGCCTTCTGGGGTTGCGCCTGCATCATCACAAACTTGCATCATTCCTGCTTTGGCACACAGGGAGATGGGTGCTGTATGGGCCCTGTTTTGCAGATGGGGAGACTGAGGCCTGGAGTAACTGAGGTTTAGAGATGAGGTGGGAGCTTGAATAGGGAAGCCTGAGCCTGTATACAGCAGGTGCTCCATCTGGGTCAGCCATGGTTTCTATAAGAAAGGAGGGTGCTTGGAGCCCCCGGGCCAGGCTGCACCAGCATGTCTGTGAGCAGCGCCTAGAACTCAGAACTGGAACCCGGAGCTCCCTGGACTCTGGCACCTGATAGCTGGCTTTGACCAATCAGAGACCGGGAATACTTGGTCCCCTTGCTCTGTTTATGAAGCCATAATCCAGCTGTTTCTGGGGGGTGTTGTTTCTCTGTGGCCCAGACGGGTGGGGGCTGCCTCGAGGCCCTCGGGAGTCCAGTGCAGAGTGACTCTGCTTCTCAGCCTGCTGGAGGGTGGACAGAGGGGGAAGATGGAGCGAGCATGCTCCTCCACCTCCAGGGAGGCCCCCAGGTTTGCACCCTTATGGGCGTGAATGGAAGGGATTTTCCCAGAGGCCTTTGAGGTCTGACCTCAGTGGGGAGGAGCCCAGGTGCGGTCTGACGGTCTCTTGTCACCCCCAGGTCTCTGTACACACGTGAATGAGCCACCTGCCAGCCACCGCCAGCCGCCGGTGCCCAGTGTGAGAAAGGAGGCGTCGCCCGCCTGCCACTGGCATGCCCCGCCAGCCCTCAGCCTGAGACCAGCGGCGCCTGCCCCTGCCCCCTGCCACCCTGCACTGCCCCGGCTCCCCCGCGGCCCCCACACTGCAGTGCGGCCGGGCCCCCTCCCCACAGGGGCCGCCCCCACCGCCCCCTCCTGGTGCCCGGGGCGGCCCGGCCCGCAGGGCCATGAAGCTGCAGGCTGTGATGGAGACGCTCCTGCAGCGGCAGCAGCGGGCACGCCAAGAACTGGAGGCCCGGCAGCCACCGCCGCCCCCTGAACCCCCAGCCCGCACCAGGGCCACTCCAGAGGAGGACAGGGAGCCTGAGAGCGCCCGGATGCAGCGGGCGCAGATGGCTGCCCTGGCCGCCATGCGGGCCGCTGCCGCTGGCCTTGGCCATGCACCCAGTCCCAGCTCGGAGGATGGGCCCCCCGGCTCGGAGGATGAGGATGCGGCCCTGGAGGGGGCACAGGGCTCGCCCACCCCACCCGGCCGAGGCAGAGAGGCAGCCAGCCTCCCCATGGGCGATGGCCGCTTTGAGGATGCAGGCTCCGACGATGAACTGTGAGTCGGGGTCTGTAGGCTCCTTATGCCGACCACATACCCTGCACCAGCCACTCTCAGCCCTGGGGCACTGCCATAGAGGAAGGACAAAACTCCTGTCCTGTTGACCTCCCAGGGCATACCATCCTTTAGAACTCACTGGTGGACAGTTCTCCATCTGCACCACCCAAGATGGGGGTCTCCTGTCCCAGAGGGCTCACATACATGTGGCCAGTACAGCCGCACTCTGCGTCTGTAGCTTTATTTCACCTTAATGTAAATGGAGCTACTCACACGGAATTGGTGGCTCCCATCACCTAGCAAGGCTGTAAGAGATTTAGTGACGGGGACAGACTTAGAGTCCATGGCCCAGGAGAAGCCTGCACAGAGCAGGCATCCATTGGCCCTTTCGTGTGTCTCACCAGCATCTGATGCAGGTCCCGAGCTGGGCACTGGCAAGACCCTGGTGGGATCCTCCTGGGAAGAAGTTTGGCAAGTTACACATGAGTGTGATTATGGGCAGTGATCAGAGTTGCCAAGAAAAGAAAGCGGGGATGTTGAGGGGAGGGATGGCTGGGGCTGGAATCAACTTTGGGGGCATTGTGAGTGAAGGTCTCCCTGTGTAGGTGACAGCCCTTAGGAGGGGATGAAGGGAGCAGAGAACAGCATGCCTGGCAGGGGGAACAGCCTCAGTGAAGGCCCCAAGGCAGGAACAGGGTCGGTATATTCAGGGCCTAGTGAGGAAGCCTGTGCTGGAAACAGGGAGAGGTGGGATTAGCAGGTAGGTAGGGGGGGTTCATTGCCACAGGGACACCTCCAGTTGCTCTGGACTAACTGGGAACAGGCCAGTAAGGGCCACACCCTGAGCAGTTCTGCTCATGGGTGCTCTTGACAGCTCACCCACATCCAGACAGGGAAACCGAGGCCGGATGAGCTGGGTTCCTTGCCCCAGGGCCTGACTTGAGCTGGCGCCTTCTCTCCTGACCTGTGCCCCTTGTCCGCCCCAGGAAGCCAAAATGGGAGGAGGAGGAGGAGGAGGAGGAGCTGGAGGAAGACCTGGGGGATGACGAAGAGGATGAGGAGGATGAGGACTACGAGGACGAGGAGGGGCTTGGGCCCCCGGGCGCCGCCAACCTGGGCCCCACAGCCCTGTTCCCCCGCAAGGCTCAGCCACTCCAGGCCTTCCGTGGTGACAGTGGATCCCGGGCACTGGGTGGCCAGGAGCGCCCGGGGACTGGCCCGGCTGTCCCCGGAGGGGCTGCCCATGCTGCACCTCAGCTGCAGCCACCAGACCACGGGGACTGGACGTATGAGGAGCAGTTCAAGCAGGTAGGCCTTGCGTCGTAATTGGAGCTGCGGGTGGTCGCTGCCAGAGTCCTGACCTGCCCTCAAGGGCCAGGAGCTCACCTGTTGGGCCTGGAGCATCCCATGTGTGGGAGCCCCAGTGTGGGATCGTGGCCCGTGGGTGGGATGGGCCGGCCGGTAAATGCAGGGACATGGGGCACATGGGGACAGGAGTCAGGAGGGGAAGTTCCACAGACTGTCTGTACCAGAAGGCCGAGCAGAGAGACCTAAGCAGAGTGGGTTCTGAGTGGAGGCCCTGGCTTGGGGAAAGGCCACCGTCCTGTATGGGGCTCCGGGGGTCATGGGTGCAGCCAACAGGCGCGGCCAGAGGCATTGTCAGCGGTGTTGCGTCTGATCTGTTGAGGCTGTGGCCGTGGAGGGGCAGGGGGTGGCCACGTCGGTGTGGACAGTCAGGAGGGGCGGGGAGGAAGCAGGCGTCCTGGTGCCGTCCCCGCGGGCGGCTAGGGCAGAGGAAGTGGCCAGGCCGGGGAGCCTTTGAAGTCGGGCCTCGCCGGGCTGGGCAGATGGAAACCAGATGGCGGCCGGGGCAGCCGGCTGGGCTTGCATTCCATCCTGAGGCCAGCTGGGCCCTGCCCCGACCTCCGAGAGTGGACTTGGGGACTTGGCCTCCCAGGCCCAGTGCCCAGCCCTCATCTGGGCTCCATGGGGCTGGGGACGCGCCAGGCACATGGGAGCCGGGAGGTGGCTGTGTGTGGCCTTGGGGCACGCCCCCCCCCCCCCCCATGCTGGCTTCCAGGATTGGCAGTGGGACCCCCCTCAAGGGAGCAGGAGGCCGGGCCGCCACGTGGGGAAAGGGCACTGGGACCCTGGTAACCCTCAGAAAACTCAGACAAAGTATAGAATCGGACATGCAGCATGAGGGGGATGAGCCAAGGCTGTGGTGGGATGATGCAGGGGCAGGTGTAAAGGCCGGAGGGGAAGGTGCCCCTGGAGTGGGCGTGGCCAGGGCAGTGGCCTGAGGCAAGAGGCCAGACTGTGGAAGGCTGGAGGGTTAATCCCCTGCCCAGGCATCTTGGGCTGGGTGGGGCTGCCCTGGCTTCTGGCTGGGTCCTGGCATGCGGTGTGGGGGGTGGAATGACACCTAGCAGACGTCACCTTCCCAGGGCGTGGCTGGCCACTCCCCACGCATGACCCCAGCTGCCCCCTTCAGCCTAAAGTCCACACCCTGGCATGTAGACCCCAGCCTGCAACCTGCCTCAGTCTGCCTCCGCTTCCAGAGGGCCCACTTATGTCTGGGCTGCTCTCCGTCTATTTGTACAGATGAGAAAACAGAGGCAAGGCGTGAGGGGGGCAGGGGGAGTGGTGGGTTTCCCAGAACCGAGCTCCTGACGTCTGTTGGGGTAAAAGTAATGAAACAGGAGTCTCATGGGTGATTTACATCAATGTTTGCCATCTGAGTTCAGCCCTTAGGGAGCCCCAGGCTGGAGGCCAGAGCTGGACAGATACCCCCCATCTCACAGGGTCACTGCTGAGCAGGAGGAAGGGACAAGCCACAGCCCCTGTGGGATTGAGGGTGGACAAGCACCCCCAGCCTCGCCCAACCTGGTTTTGAGTGGCCAGGCCCAGCACAGGCCAGGGGTCAGGTGTCCTGACTGTAAAGCCCCCTCGGCCCATCAGGAGCAAAGTAACTCAAGGGGCCATTCTCTTGCTGGTGTGGGAAACAGGGATGATGTCTTGAGGACCCCCAGGGTCAGGGCATAGATGGGGAAACTGAGGCCCAAGAAGCACAGGGAACACAGGTCACAAGTCAGCCTCATGCTTGTGGAGTGTCTATGGGATGCCCAGCTCCCCTGCCAGGGGCAAAGAAGGTCTGTAAACAGATGGGTGGGAAGGGATGATAAGACCCAGCCTGGCAGCCGCTGGGGGATGTAGCTCATGGGCCAAGCCTGGTTGGCAGAGGAGCTGAGCACTCGCACCGTGGGGCACCCATGCAAAGGCCCTGGTGTAGGATGTAGCATGGCTTGTGTGTGGAGGCCAGATGCTGCCACTGGGCTTGGCCCTGCAGGGCCTGGGATTGAATTCCCAGGTGGAGGGGGCTGGGGTGGTGGGCAGATGCCAGGGTCTTATTGCTGCCTGGCTGTGGCAGTTCTAGCCACCCGCACTGCGTTCCTGCCCAGCTGGCCAGGCACCTGTGCAGCCAGTGTCAACAGTGGCCCAGGCCTAGCCGGCCCGGCAGATGTCGGGGCTGTGTTGACTCTGGCGCCTGCCCCACCCCCTTCCTGGCACGTGGCAGCCGGGCCGGCCGGCCGCCTGCTTGGCACCATCTCTGCCTCTTCCTCCCCGGTCTTGGCAGGGCCCGGGCCTGACTTCCGCCCGAAAACCCTCGACAGCCGTGAAAT